TACATCACCAAAACAGTCTCACCCGATAAATAAGTGGCGTAGGCCGCAAACACCCGAATGGTTGTTGAATACGAAACCGCATCGGAATCCCTACAAAATCTGTGCGGGCTTCCCCTGCCAATTTCAGGTTGAGGTTCCCTAATGCAGTGTTCCCCCACCGTTGGTGGGGGTAAGGTTGCCTATCGCAGAGGTTCCCCTCCCACTGTTCTGGGAAACTTGGCCCTCCCGTATAATGCAGAGGTTCCCTCATGCATTGCGCCGGTCGGTGTGGACAACCCACCATCCGACATACTTTTTTGTCTGCTGTTGCTGCTGCATGCGTGTACATGGAGACGAACAAGACAATCAAATATATCGATGCGACAGGGTAAGCAATACCGCCGTGTGTTCTCACGTCGACGCTGACCCACTTAACACATGACGAAGAGAACTTCTTTCTAATATCATTTTTGTATCTGGATGATTTCCTGTGCAACGGCGGCATTTTTCGGGGCCCCGGATGAACGTTCGTAGTGGTGTGGTCCCGCCTACTTCCGAGGTCGTCTTCGCTCGCCACGAGTTTTTTTTTTCCCGAAACCGGGTTCCCTTCCACTTGCAGTGAAATGAATGCAACTTGCGATTCCACGCACAATATGCAATGTGCCTACGGCATCATTTTTGGCTACTTCATTCCCATCGCCAACAAGGATTGATTGTCAATTAGTTCTCAGGGGCACGTATTCTAGGAGTCCCGTTCGTACCTTAACACCCACGCCCGAAGACCGCCAAGCGCTTGTGGCGCATGTCCTGCCTCTTGGGTCGCCCCCGAGAGGAGGCAACCCACCTAGCGCCCGAACGGGAGCGTTCCATTATTTTTCAATCCCTTCCGATCCCCCCCCCCGGTGTTTGCCATCGGGGTTGGGTTTTCGTCGCTTGGCAACGACGTTGTAAAACAAGCCGCCCCCCCCGGTGTTTGCCATCGGGGTTGGGTTTTCGTCGCTTGGCAACGACGTTGTAAAACAAGCCGCCCCCCCCGGTGTTTGCCATCGGGATTGGGTTTTCGTCGCTTGGCAACGACGTTGTAAAACAAGCCAATTCACTTCGTGAACTCGGCAACCAGGTTACCGTTTTTTTTTTTTTCCTCCGTTTTTTTTTTTTGGCGGTAACCATAATGGTGGTCGAGTAGATCATGTTGTGCGGGGTGGAGAACCCTCACTCCGCGCAAGGGGGATGATCGCACCACGTTGTGTTAAAATGGTCAAGCACCCTCGAGGCAGTTACACAGTGCTTACAACTGTCTCTGGAAGTGAAAGCACCAGAAAATAAATTAATTCATACGCAGCTGTCATCCGTACGCAAGGAAGTAAGCACAAGATGCCGAACACCCTTAGCAGGATGCAGCGCACCCTTCATGCGACTCGCCGAATATCTCACGGCGCTTCGCGCTTGGTGATGTGAGAGCCTGGTCCGGTGAGAACCCAGCGTGCTCCGTCCCGGCTTTGTAGGGATGCGAGGTCAATGGTCTAACGACTACGGCATGCACGACAATGAGTACACCCCCCCCTTCCGATCACCCCCCTTTTTCCGGATACGTCATTACCGTTCTACGTCACCTCTATCAACCTCATGCCCCCCCCGCCCACTGGGAGCGGGGGGCTGATGCTTCACCCTGGAATATATATATGATACGCACAATTATGTACACGAGGTTGTAGATAATGCATCACAGAGAGACACTGCCCGTTCCAGACAGACATACTTCAGTACATTTTACAGGCTACTCAAGATTGAAAGGTGTGTTGAGGTCTGTACTACCATGGTGTACAGCAGTGAGTGGGAGAAACCAGGCTGGATACTCTATTGGTCATCACCCTCTGGAAGCTTGACACCCACGACCCGAAGGGAGACCTTGCAACAAAAAAAGTCGGGTCCTCATTATTATCAAGGTCGTCGAGGAACGCGTCCCCGCGAAACGGAGCCAGTCTCCGCGACTTTGAGCGTCGAACACACGCGCCGCGGGTGCTGTCGAGCTCTGGGCATGCGCGGTATTGTACGGACAAGCCTCCTGCGCGATCTGAGAAGCAAGCTCGAGAAAAGCTTCGCTGCCGCTAGAAAAGAAATGCCGAAGCATGAAAAAATCTAAGGGTTTTCTCGGCAATTTTACAACCCTGAAAATACCACCATGCATGGTGGGCGGTAATGGTTAGTCTATCGCCGTTTTCGCCTTTTTCTAGTTTTACCGCCTCCGTCAAAGCCGTTACTGCAAAAAGCAATACCGCTTATCGCCGAAAATGTGTCAGCCTCAATAACCGTTTCAGAGTAAACCCATCCTATTAAATAAATTATCTGATACACGAAAAAAGATGTGCAGGCAAAAGCCCCTCCGCGACGCGGTCTCCTGGGAATGCGTCCCGGGGGGGGATCACACGACTTCATTTCCTCCATGTGTTCCAAGTCCTTTGCCTCTTTTTGAAATAGTCTTGGACGTACACGACATCATAACTAGACACGTTGCCAGAGGTTTCAAGCGAGGAATGCAAATCGCCACTCATTTGCCGCCATAATAGATGGTATTCCCCTTCATTCCAAAAACGAGCTCCGCAATTCCAAACATACACCTACACAGCCCGGGGTAGGACGCTCACTACCACCACATAATCAAATACTTAAGTATATAAAAGAATGCCAATGACAATATCACCCAACGTCGAGAACCACGCACACAACAACCCTCAAACCTCACGGATTCAAGTCCAACATGAAAGCCAAGCATCAAAGTCCACGAGAGAGAATCGCCCAGGGAACCCCACCACTACATATTTTAGCGTACACGCTTATGAAAGTATTACCAAACGTCCAGAAGCACGCGCACAACAATCCTCACGGGTTTGAGTCCAAGTGCAAGGCCAAGCATCGATGTACGCGAGAGGGCATCGCCCAGGGAACCTCATACCTGCGCTCACCACCGCTACATATACCAAGACTTAAAACTATTACTTGTAGTACTCAATATCCAGAATCACACGCATGCATAGCAGCCTTCACGGGATTAAGCCCAACATCAAAACCAAGCATCAAAGTACGCGAGAAGGAATCGCCCAGGGAACCCACCCCTGCTCCCACCATATATGCAAGCACCAGCAGATAATATTACATATTATCTTACCCAACGTCCAGAATCACACGCATAACACCCTTTATCGGTTTTAGCCAAACATCAAAGGACGCGAGAGGGAATCGCCCAGGTAAACCCCAATACATACAGTCTACAAGTACCAGCAGATACTACAAATTACATAACCGATATTTACGAACCGCGCGGACAACAACCCCCACCGGTGAAGTCCAAGTTCAAAGCCAAGCATCAAAGCGCGCGAGGAGGAATCGCCCAGGGAACCCACCCCTGCTCCCACCATGCAGTAGAGGTCCCTATTTAGCGCCGGGGTGAGCGCCGAAATTTCACCGGCACTAAACCGGACACCGGCACTATTCGAAGTACAGAACGACTTGGAATTCCAGTGTGTGCGAGCCGAAAACACCGGCACTAAAACGGCAACCGTCACTATTCAACCGGCACTAAGCAGGGACCTCTACTGTATATACAAGCACCAACAGATAATGTACATACTTCGAAGTATTACATTACCCAACGTCCAGCATCACACGCACAACACCCTTTATCGGTTTGAGCCCAACATCAAGGGACGCGAGAGGGAATCGCCCAGAGAACCCCACTACACATAGTCTACAAGTACCAGCAGATACTACAAATTATATAAACTATATTTCCGAACCGCGCGGGCAACAACCCCCACGGGTCAAGTCCAAGTTCAAAGCCAAGCATCAAAGCACGCGAGAGGGAATCGTCCAGGAAGCCTCCCCTCTGCGCGCAAGAGGCAATCACCAAACTTTTATAGTGCGCTCCAAATATCCATGGTCTAGGAAGCGGATATGTGCTCACCGTCCCAGGTGCCAGCACCGGCGGCTCGCGGCAGCGCTCATTTCGGAAAGCCCTCGCAAACAACCTCTGCACTCCAACCTGCACACCCGATGGTCACTATAAGCATCGGCACAATCTCCAGGCCCGCGATGGGGTCCTCGCTTCTCCGGTATGAGCTACTATGTCCCTCTCCATTGACTGGGCCGTTGCGCTACATCTTCATTTACGATCGGGCTTTCCCATCACGGTATCTCGATGGCATAATCGGTAGACTCGCCTGCTTCCTGTGGCTCGCCGCTGCCAAGCCCCGTACCACTGTCCCCTGACTGGGCCATCGGCATGGGTTGATCTCCCTTCACCGTCTGGTGTATCTCACTGTCCACCACCGAGCTTGTCTCGGCCTTGATGGCCTTCACGCAGCTGGAGAATCCAAGAGGCAAGGATATCTGTTGGGGAGGAAACAAGACAAGGGGAGGAGACACACACGCACATGAGATTTGCCGTCGCACGTTGGACACCCTGCGGGCGTGCCGGTGGGTGGTTCTATAGCTTACCCGCCGAAGACGACACGTGGGAAGTCTAGGGCGCGCAAGCTTCTCGGGCGGACGTATTTCCGACTTCAGCCACGGGCAACCACCTTCACTCCACCGACTTCGACTCGGTGGGATTGTACCTACACGTGGCAAATTTGCTTAAGAAGCTTGCATGTCGTCCAACGTCAGCGATAACACATGCGATGAAAAAACGAAATCATAAGTCCAGACACGAACCCATCTTCTGCGTTTCCTAACGCACCTCAGTCAGACAGAGGGTCACGAAAATATTTGCCGTTGGCAGAAGGTCGGCGAGTTGAGCCGCCTGCCGTAGGGTTGATGTCGACGGAAGCACAAAACAGAAACGTATGTCAGATCCATGTTGGGTATCACATGTACAACTGAGAACAACCTGCTGTTGGTATGAACCATCACCGCCTTGAACCGCCTCCACCGACAAGAGCTGCAACAGAACGCTGGCCGTTGGGGCTTTGGGAGATATAATAAGCTTTTAGCAGGGCTCCGGGTGCACCCAGAGGCATGGCGATGACCATCCATACGGGCAATAGACCTTCTGTAGGGATTGGTTCGACGCACCGCTCATTCGTGACAGTCATTTTTTCTCACACAAAGAACGTGCTTCCTTCTTTTTGTCCAATCAACAGCTGACCAACCTGCGACGTACGAAACACCGGTTCTTACTCTCAAATCCCAGCTAGAGCCCACGCTTCATATTCGCGCCCACTCGGCGTTTGTGCTATAGCCATGCTAACCGGATGTCGAGCTGAGGGTGCGTTCAAACATCACTTGCTATGGAACCTTCGCAGAGCCACATTGCTGGACGACAAATGGCCTCAATGTCCGTGAGTAACAATTGCCACGAGCGACCAGGTCTCTACATCAAGAACCCACGTGTTGCAGCGCTCTGCTCACCCATATGTAGCAAGCGGGCAGCATGATTTCCGACGTGTACTTCACATGACTTCGAAGCAATCCAAACATCCGTACGTTCCCGACGTTGTTTCTTATCCCAGGGTCGTGTGTCCGATATCGATAGTTCTCGTACTAATACGCGGATTGCTCTACGCGGGGTGATGGGGGCGCAACGTCACAACAGTGTTAATAGCAAAGGCGGGCCTGAGAACTCGTGATATCACGCGCTGTACGCAGCTTGGCACGCACGAGAAACTGTACGATGCGCGATCTGCTCTTCCAAACCTTGATGCTCCCGGGAGCAGTGGTGAGAAAGCCCAATACCACAATTACGGTTGTGACGGCGTAGGTGAAGGTGATGGCGATCGTACATGCCACGTTTCGCATCACCAACCGACGGTACACCGCCCCGCCTGACTGGGTATGACCTTGGGGGATCATCAGCGGCTTCACGAACATCGCCAGCAGTAGCGCGAACTAACGCGACGAACGTGCGGCGGAACGAGGCAATACCAATCAAAACAATTTGGTGCGGTCGGTCATCGACAGGCCAACAGGAGCCTGTGCCTCACTTTAACGCCGGATTCCATCAAAGCACGTGGGCCTACGGCAGAGATGAAGCAATGCAGCTCTGTGGATACCCATTCCCGGGCCCGACCCCCCTGCCCCGTTTTCGTAACCAGTGATAAAATGCAGTCGTCCTTGGCGGTCGCACCAGCCTTTCCCCGATAGCAATCCATTCAAGACCTACCATGTAAGCGGTTCCTTGTTCCACTCAAGGCGACTACATCGTTGACCTGTCAGTTCTCACCTGGATAATAAGTATCCCATTGTTTATCACGAATCCAAGCGTGTCCGAAAACGTTACGTCTTCGTCCTCTTTTAGATCTAGAGTCAAGCAGAAAGTCCCCTGGAAAAGTACGTGGGAGCATTATTCAAGCCGTAACACCGCATTTTTGTGGGAGCATACATCTATAGTCGCGAGAAATTTCACGTTCGTTTGGCAACATTTGGTCAGGAACTTTTGAAAAAAACAATTGTATTACACGCTGATAGGGGCGAATGAAGTTCTCTTCACAGGACTGGTGCAATGCGGAAGCGTGGTCCTTCATTGTTTATTTAGCAACGGCGAGACGCAGGTACCCCGCTTCACACCACACCGCCAAAACCGGTCAGAGCGTGAAAGAAAAGCTTGGAGAATGACTAAGAGGCACAAAACCGGGCGTTGCGCCTTCCAATCGAAGCCAGGAAGCCCTCAAGTATGCTCACATCCAATACAAATTGTTGACGCAGAACGTTTTCTACACAGCTTCGGCCACCGCAGGTAATCCCAACTCGGCGTTCAAGGATTGTGACTTGGCCGTTCATCTATCGCGTGGATCGTGCGCGTGTGTGTGGCGGAAGAGGGTCTGCGTGTGTGGTAGGGGCAGGCGCTTGACGCGGATCGATGGAAGTCTCGCCGCAAAACTTTTGCCCTACACGTTTGTCGCGAGAGAAGTTTGAAAACTTTTACTCCAAATTGCGCGATCTTTGTCGAAAGCGAAAGTGTCCAGGTGCAACTTTTTGCTCCCTAAAGAGTGTACATGAGAAAAACATTTTTCGCAACTCTATGCTCCAATAAAAAGCGGTGCAAGAAGGACAGAGAGTTTTGAGTCGACCCGAAGCGGTTTGCGAGGTGTTTATTGCTGCAATGGACGACTTGACACGTGCATACCTCTAGGCTCGGCACGCTCGAAGCTTGGGCTGCCAAAAACAATGCACCCGTCGTTCTGCGCAAAGCAAGAGCATAGAGAGAGTCGGTTCCATTGCGAAGTGAGCCGCACGCTTTCATCACTATTGATATGATACTGCCAACCTGCTACGAGGTACGCTGGGCACGCACTCTTTCGAAAAGGCCACAGTATCAGCACCTCCAATGCATTGATGGGGACTAGTCCTCTATTGTGTTCCCACTGGTATCGAAAACTGTGAAGTCAAGGCAGCTCGAAACACGTTCGCGATGAATCCGTTGGCATCAACGTACTCCGTTGGTCGTCAATCTGCTACGTTTTCGTCAACGTCTAGTCTTAAACTGTTTAAATACCCGCACGTCTAATGAGAATACTCACAGCACTACCCATCCGTAGAAGCGCGACCACCACGTGATGCATGCTTCCCATATGGCGAGGGCACGGTTGCCATTTGTGACACTTGTCTTCCCAACGAGAAACAGCACCAGGCTTGCCTGTTGTCGAACGAAAACAATATCGAACAAGACCATACTCAGCTCCAGTCGCAGACGTCAACCTCTGATGCAACGTATCGCGCAGCAACACGTTCTTCCTTTGCTGGAATCGACGGACAGCTAGCCCCACCACACACCCACGGTAGTACGGAGAGCAACCAGCCGTTGAAAGTGATAGAAACTCCAAGCTTTTGCCGCAAGACTGTCACAAAAGCGTTCCTAATGTTAGAAACCCTACACACAGTAGTTTACGTTCACAGAGAGACTACCCGTTCGAGATATCACCACCGTCGAAGGACATGACATGAACTCATTGCAGTGAGTAGGAAAAACAAGTGTGGATACTGACCATACTCTTGATTTGATTTAAGGCATTATGCACTGAATTGATATACTCAATGGTGCCAGCTGGTGCACACCCAAAAACCATCCGCAGAACATAAAAATAATGCCAGCTGGTGCAAACCCAAAAAACATCTGCGAAAAAAAGGCGTTTAAGAGGAATATCCCCTGTAGTTCTTTATCGCGAAACGACAAACTTATCGGGGAGAAAACCTCCGCGATGTCGTGTGCAGATAATCCCCGCATCAAACAACTTGGCAGTTAGGAGTTCCAAGCTCAACACTGCTGTACTCCGGCATCAGATAAACACTTGAGCGTCATTGCCCGGTTGAGAACCCCTACACTGAAACCTACCTAGCGGCAATTTGTAGCCCACAAGAGGCACGAGACCCCAGCCTTGGCGGACACTAGACGTTGGAAAATGCAGGCGCTATCTGCAATATCCCGTACCACAAAAAAAGTCGGCCTGCACAAGGACACGTCGCAGTCTCTTCATAAAGTGTGCTGGATAAATATGCTGCTGTTTTTGATCCACCATAATTTCGGATCTTGGAGGTGTTGCGAAAAAAAAATGAAAGCTCTACTGCAAGCAGCCGCTTTTGCTGATTTCTACAGCAGCTACGGTAGTAGTATTGGATGTCGACTCACTCAATGGTCTCGATTGATGACGACCAAGAGGCGTTACGGGCGAGCTGGCACGCGAAGGCGCCGAAGTTCGCTGTGCGAGTCTAGCGCTTCCCTTGAGCTGGCGAGGGGGCCCCGCCGGAGGCGCGGTCGGACGCAAAAAGTTGTGTTAAAAAACTGTGGCAATTTCCCTTCCATGCCCCTCACAATTACCGCAAAACAGGTCTCTGAACCCGGCTTCGTATAACCAACTGTTTGAGCAAAAACATGTGGAAATCACGATTGCGAAAAACCAAGTAGAGCAAGTGCTGCATCATTTCTACCTTGTCTAGCGGTTCAAAGCTCACACAGCGGTATCGTGCACAAAAACAACAAAAGCACCGTTACCGTATTCTACAGAGCCAAGCTCCGTTTGGGGGTTGTTCTGTGGAGTTTTATCGATTTATCGGATCGGAAAAATTGATACACTTAAGCCAGAACGTCGCCATTTCGCAAGTGACAAACAATTCAGCGTTGTTAACGGTTTTACACGTAGATTGTTATTTCTTTGTCCCCAATATTGGAGGCAAATAGAAAGATCCCCAAGAGGGAACAAGAACAAACTCCCCGAATCGGAAAGTCAACATATAAAAAACATAATTATGTATCCGGACATAATTCTCGTTCGACCGCGATGTTACACTTCTTCTCCTCCCGTGGATGCCCCCCCGGTGTTTACCATCGGGGTTGGGTTTTCGTCGCTTGGCAACGACGTTGTAAAACAAGCC